AGCTCCTGGAGGCGTGCTGTGGCCGGAGCTAAATAGTCGCAAACACGTTAGTGGTGTTTACGTTATATGCACTTATGTGCGATTGCCAACAAAACACAGAAATTTGATGCAGTTTTACTCAACGTCTGCGGTTCTGACTCATGATGGGGATCTTTTAACACTTGGATGCTCCATCTTTCAGTATCAAATGATCTGTAAATGCAGCGTCGAACTGGGCCTTGTTTATAAAACATTAATCACTGAAATGACTTGAACAAACAAACACATGTGCGCAACACTGTTGCTGTCCTGGAAAAAAACTGCAACCACTGTTCCCTTAACGCTGGGTTCTTTAGGAAGCTGAAATAGGTTATTTTTCCCTCACAACCAAAAACACACTTCTTTTGAAGACAGTCCTGTGCAGAGCTGCCGACGACTTTCGTAACCCAAATGAAGCACGTTGATGGGCTGCTCTTGCTCTGGTTGCTGTGCGCGCGCACTCTTCCGGGAGAAGTGCTCATACAAGGGATTCCGCTATTTATGACATCATGAAGGGCCATACTCGAAAACGTTCCAAAATGTAAACTTTGGCCATGTTTAGCATGCGAATCCAAGTCTTTAACAGTGTAAATAACTCTGAATGCATGAAATAGCATTAGACACCCACACCCACCCCCACCCTGCCTTTAAAACAAATCTTACCGGCCCCAAACCTTTACGTCCAAATTGTTTTTTGAAACTTTGTCCATGCTTAGCATGAGAATCCAACTCTTTAACAGTGTAAATAACTCTGAATGCATGAAATAGCATTAGACACCCACACCCACCCCCACCCTGCCTTTAAAACAAATCTTACCGGCCCCAAACCTTTGAACGATAGTTTGTTTTGCATCATTTACCTCAACTTTACATTTGATGTTCATAAAACTTTATAATTAACATCCATATTGAGGATTCAAATTGAGAATGTAATTGATTTATTTAGTTTATAGTCCATGACAACTGTTATTGTTTTTTTTTTATGCCCTCATCGAGGTACAAAAACATTCTGATACTGCAACCCACTAAATTAAACACTAGAAATAATATACGCATATCATCCAGCAATTAATTTGTAAATTAAATATGTAATCCATAATTGCATGTAAAAGTACATTTTTAAATTTCAATAAAGAAAATGTAAGCTTGCTCATTTGCCAGCACAATGCAAGGGTTTTGCAGGCGGTTACAGTGTATTGTTAATGCAGTTTCTGTTGTATTCTGCACGGTTACTAGGATGTTGCTGGGTGGTTACTTACAAGCTCAAATTAAAAGCAGCACACCCCCATGTCTCTGATATGCTTGGTCTGTAGATATTGCTTATCAAAGCCATTTAATGAAGTTACAGGACACCTAAGAATCTGCACGATTTGAGGTGTCATTCATATGTGTAGCACAGGACAAGTTACATACCGAAGTTTAATGCTTGGAGTTTGTACTGCTTTGTCTTGGCAAAGAGCACTAATAAATGAACAGCTGGTTTGAATTGCACATACAGATTTTTGGCTGCCCTCAACCATTTAAAGGACTAATTACTAGCTTCAGTAAAGGACGTTAAACACTTGTTGGACTTTGCCCCTCATTTGTGAAGTAGCTGTAACCACAAAACTGAGTGTAGTGACCCAAGTCTTTGCACTAATATTGATCACTGCACTCAAATGGCACACTCTGCCCTTGGGCCAAAAGCGCTACTCCCGGCCCATGCGCTCGGGGGTTGTCCATTGTAGCAGGCAGGGCATCAAAGGCGAGCTGAGTTTGCGCTGTGCATGGCCAGGGATTTGGCACCCTCCTGCACCCCTCCGTGGTCCGTGTGCGGATTCTTTTGTTGTGGGATACGCGTTCATACACATGGTAATTAGTCTCATGTGGCTCAAGCCTGCGGTGGAGGTGCTTCCGAGCGGGGGAGGCACGAAGATGGAGGGAAAGTAAGAGTGCAAGAGATTAAGAGACGTACGTCAGTAAAAAAAAATGTTTGCTTTGGGAAGAGTTTTAGCACGTTTGAAAGAAAGGACATTTTCGTGGGTGTGCCGCCCAAGTGAGGTCGTCTCAGAAAAGCGACTGTAGCTGATACAGTAAGACCAGTTTTTCAGGTTCAGAAACTCTGCAGTGTGCTGCTGCGGTTGAGAGGGGGAGTTCACTTCAGACGGGCTGCATGCTTTCGCTCACGGCCAGACCATAGGTCGGCACACAACAGCTCATGTCTGCTCGAATGGGTCAAAAACTGCTCGTTCTTTTCGGTTTTTAAACAGCACACACTTTGAAATAAGTATTCCGGCTTCTCATCATGCACCAGCCCCCCAAAACTCTGACAAAAACAAGGGGAGCTACAGTTCCTGTGAACATGGCATTTGTGTGCTCACAGTAGCCATAAATTAGTTGTGGTTAACATTATAGTTTCAAATTGTGTGGTGTAATAACACGATCACATTTAAATTTATTAAAGTGTCATGAAACCCCTCTGTTTTGGCACTAGTCGTTCACACCTAAGATCGGAAAGACTCAAGTAAGCTGTGGAAAAGTGGGAATGTAGAGTGCAGGAAGAGAGGAGAAAACAACCAATAAGACACAGACCTACAACACACTCATTATACAGAGTAATGAATATTAAAATGTAAGTGGAAAAAAAAAAAAGTTGGGGTACTTTGCTGTATTTTAAAAAATATAGCCCTATGACAAACTTCAAAGTGTCTTCACATCGTGAAAAAATCAAATAGGTTTTGATAAACCATTCTTAAGAAATATCATCGAATGAGCATTTAAACTTTCCTGATTTATTGGTCTGTATGAAAAATGAGGAAGAACATTTGATATTTCATAAAATCTACGTCAAGATGCAATGAAATGTGCGCAAACATGTTTAGACCACTACAGTAGATGAAATATGTCCACGAAAACTTGAAACACATTTGCTCCGGTCCGGATATGAACCGTGAACGGCACTGCGAGTGTTGATAAATTAATTGTGTGAAATTCATGTCAAATGCATCTTACAGACATTTGGTAGCCAAACTCTCTCTGACCGCGTTCACAGGGAAACACAAACTTTTGCCCCTTATGTCCCTGAACAACAACAAAAGATGACAGAGTTGAATCAACACCGCTGAAACGTTTAATGTTATCTCATGCATAATACAGTGCATTGATTGGATAAAGAGTTCCTTCTCATGAATAATGTGGAGAAATGCTCAGAAACTGATGATGAAGTCTAGGGCTGGGTGGTATGACGGTGTATATAGTTACCGCGGTATAAAATAACAGGTTTTTTTTATTCTGTGTATACTGCAACATGTAAATAAGTGGGCGTGGTTAACACATTCAAGGTGGAGCGGTTGCCATGGTAATGAACAACCTGCTAGTTAAAGAGAATATACATAATCCTGTATCTGAGGCTAAATGACTAAATTATACACGCCTCACAACCAATATTTAAACTACTTAGTCAGCACTAACAGTAGCTGATGTTCAGTTTGCATACTTCTGCTCTCCTTCTAGTCACTACTTTACTCTTCCCTCTCTTGATTAAAGCTCCAGGTGAAGCTAGAGCAAAGAGTAAAACAAGCCCCTTAAAAACGCAGTATAATAAGCAGATACCAAGGAACAAATTTCAACAATATAACAGTAGTAATAGTAACCTAAAAAATTAAAAGGAAGTAAATGTAATGTATTATGAATGGAATATTTCAATATAAAATATTTAGATATAGTATAAACTGAAGTAAAACAATAACATGAGATTTAAAAGTAATTCAGAAACACCTTATTTAAAGTTTAATTGCACCTACAAGTTGCGTTTAATATCAGTCAGTTGGGGGCAGTTAATCTAAAAGTTGAGTGAGTTTTTACTCAAATTACCAAATAAACGTAAAAGAAAAATCAAACAAGGTGAAGTACTTTTCATTTCTAAAGTATTTGAGTTTAATTATTATATAAAGCCCTTTTTGTCAATTTTCAGAATAACTGCATATAAAAATAACTATATCGTGAAAAATATCGTTACCGTGAAGTAAAATTAGTCATAACGTGAAACAGAATTTTGATCCTACCATTCATTTTGGTCAATGCATTCTCTTTAGCCAGTCATAACTCAGAATAGACGCATTTACTATAACTTTTCTAAAAATTCACAGTTACTAAATAATGTGTAAATTATTGTTAAGTGTGTATTAATGTGTAAACAACCACATGCAGTACATAAGTTGTTGTTGTTGTTAAACACCATACATAACACCATATGCAAGCGTGATTCATTGCTAACAGTCTGCCTGTTAAAGTGAATCATTATAAAACAAGTTCTTAATTACGGTTAATGTATGTAGAAAAACTGCATTCTTGGTCCACACAATATTTGTCCTTTTAGTTAAAAATATTACACATCTTTTAACAACATTGTTGGTATGTTTAATAGGATATGTAATTCAGGATTTCTGAACATCAGAGTGGGAGTCCCTCGAGATAATTCTCATAATGCAGTTTCATATGAGTCATGAATAATAAACCAGTCCAAAGCATATCAACATCATTGCGCAGTACTCGTTTTCAGCTTATTATCTAAAATGTGATCTACATTTGCTAGTGTATGGTTGTTTCTTTGTCATTTGCACTGAGTAAAATAAAATGGGACCAACATCTTTGCAGGGAAAGAAATGGAAAGAAAAGCTTATCTTGAGGGTAGTTGACACAATTCTTGTATATACTTGAAGATGTGAATATTTGTAAAAATTCATGTCACACTGCAGGGCCATTTAAATGACAAAAGGTGATTTATAATTAGTCACACAAATTTCCATCATAACTTATGAATTCATATACATTTTAACAAAAAACCTAGATGTTGATTAAAGTTCATGGACCTGTAATCAAATACCTATACATAAAGAAAACTGCTCAGTTTGCATCTCATGTACAACTATGTAACAAATATGAATTAAAAACCTACATGAACTGCTCGTTAAATGTTCACTTGTTGTATCTTCTATGTGCAGTTACAGGAGACTGTCAAGAGGAAGTTGGAGAATGCTGGTTCACCCCTAGGCCGTGACCAGGTCAACGGTTTCACCGATGGCTACCCGCCCAATAAAAAAGCCTGTGTTGGGGATGCATTGGGGGGTCTTAATGGGGTCTCAAATGGTACAGTGCCTCCTCTCTCACCTATGGACTCCAAACGTAATGTGAGTACCGATGCCATGATGGCCAATGGGAACCACAGAGCGGTTGGTGCAGAGCACAATGGGATGGGTCTAACTGATAGCGGTGCATCACATGGCACAGAGTCTGATTTTCGCCTGAAAGAAATGAAGCAGGAGCCGGTGGACGATATCTTGCCCTGCATACTGCCTGGGGGAGGTGGGAATGGAAACCACAACCTCTTCCCTGACCTCAACCTCAACGATCAGGACTGGAGTGAGATTATGGAGGAGTTCAACCGCTCCGTACCCTACGAGGAAATCCAGGAGCTCTTCAGTGACAGTTTTGGAGATCGCAAGGACCCGGAGCTCTCGTCCGCCGGTGCAGCTCAGAGCTTGATGCCGCCAGATCTGGTCAGCGTGAAGACTGAATTTTCCCCCACTATGGCTCCCTCCGCCTTCGATCAGGACTCTTGCAACGGTTCACCTCAGTTGAGACCCACCTCGTCTGGGCCTCCGCTTCACACCAACTCCCCCGCAACGGCTCCGGCCACATCGCCGGCCCTGCCTGTGCAGCAGCATCCACAACAGCCGCCCATTCAGCCCAGCAGAACACATCCAAATCACCTGCTGCCCGTTCCACCCAAAGACCTGTCCCCCGCGCAGCAACTGCAGCAGTTAGCAGTTCGTGAGCAGCAGAGGGCGATATTACAAAGCCAGCTGCAGCACGTGGTTCAGAAGCCGCCACAGCAAAAACCGCAGCAACAGCAAGCAGCGAAATTCCACCAGCAGCCCAATCACTCAACGTCTTGGCCCCAAAATGCTCCCACCCAAAGTCAAATGGGCGGAACCTTTGGCCTTGAGAAGTCCACCAGCCCTTCTTTGTACCCGCAAGACTTCCCCAACCCCAAGACCCTGCTCATGCCTAACAAGGGTTCTCCCAAAGCAGGCGCTCCAGATGGGTACATGCAGCCCGGTGGGCACGCCAACATGTTAAGTCACCCAGCCGCACCCACGGGGCCCCTCAGCCACCCACCCAACCCAGGTGCCCAGGTGGCCATGTTGAACTACAGTAACACTAAACCCCTGTCCCATTATGAGGCTGGAGCGCCGGGTGCACCCAGGGGCCCTCCGGCCACACAGAACCAGAACAAACAGAGCCAGGCCATCCTGAACCTGATGCGACAACAGCAGATGCAGAAGCAAAGGCCGGCCAGCATGAACTTCAGACCAGTACACCACCAGCATGCTCTGGTAAGACAACCTTCTCACTGCACTCATCACATCTGTTGCTAACAAGGGGTTTTGTTCACCCAAAAAAAATTTTAATTGTCATGTACTCACCCTCGTGTGAGTCCAAACCCATAAGAACAAAAAAATGGGTGTTTATATGTGCATCTACGATGAACTGATTTAATTTAGACTTTTATTTTACACATAAACACACATTCATACAGTACATCACGTATGGTGAACATGGAAGCTTTTGCATGTGTTTCAAGCTACAGCAAACCTCATTGGTTCTCGTGCATCATGTTTGAAACTTAATTTACCATATTTTTACCATATTACCACACTTACCATAGCTTAAATTAACTTATAGTTTCACTAAAATATATTAATTTGTGTTTCAAAGATTACCCAATGTCTTACAGGTTTGGAATGACAGAAGGGTATGTAAATGACAGAATTTTCATTTTCGGATGAAGTGGGGTTTTTTTTACCTTTATTTGTATAGAGCTTTAAACAAAACCGATTGTGTCAAAGCAGCTTTACAGTGTCAAACAGGAAAATAGTTAGTCAATAATGCAAGAAGACGATAACAGAGTCATTTTTCCAGATAAAGTCACTTCATTGATGATTGATCATCCAGTTCAGCTCTCTTCCAATAGTGTCAACATTTCAAATTAAAATTTTTGATAAAACAATCGTTAAAAAAAAAAAGTTTATACTGATTTTAACAACTTCACAATGTATTTAGATATCAAATCATATAAAATAAAAACGTCATAATCATTCGTTTTTATAAAGTACTTACAACAAAACTAATCTGTAGTTGTAACTACATGTTGTCTTAAGAATCAAAATGTCTTGAGAGCCTTAAAAGGATAGTTCATTCAAAAATGAAAATTGTCAACATTTACTCACCCTCAAGTTGTTCCAAACCTGCATGAATTTCGTTCTCCTGCTAAACACAAAATAAGGTATTTTAAATAATATGGGAAACCAAACAGTTTCTGGTCCCAATTGAGTTCCATTGTACTCTTTTGGAATTACATAGTATGAAAAAAAAAATACTAAGACCTTTTTATCACTCAAATTCTGCAGAGAAATCGCACAAGACACTGAAAGATGAAATGTTCTAGTGCACATGTGACGTGCTGTCAGATGAAGTATATGTGTCACTCTGACTGTGGTAGAGAAGGGGATGAATATTAGGAGTGACTGGTTTTGGCATTTTAGGTTTCAAAATACAGTGGCCTCAAAGCATTTGGACACATAAAAATGTCTTGAATGTCATTGCATTACATAAAATATTAAAACAGTGATGACAAGATCTTTCTGCATCACCGCAGTGGAAATGAGGTGCTCAAATTAGACTAAAGGGAAGAGCTTATCAACGGGAAGAAATTATCAATGATATTATCAGATTCCGGAAACGGCTTCTGGAAAGAAAATGTTCATTTTCATTTTCATTTGCACAATGTGAAAATGTAAACGTTGTAAAAAGTGATTAATCCATCTCAGAAGAGTCAAGATAGTTGTTCAGTGATGTGCTTGACAGTCAAGTCGAAAAAACAGCTTATATTTCTCTTAATTTGTGACATTTCCAAACAGTGTGTGATCAGCACTGCTTTAATAGGGAATAGATCTAACTGACTGCACTTGAAGTGGCTGAGTCCGCCAAAAAAAACACACCCCCTTCTAGGAACCCTTTCTTCTCCTCATCCGCTAGCCTTGGAGATATTATTGGCAGCAGGGAGCATTTCTTTCTGCAAGAGTGTTTGAGGAAATTAATATAACTACCCTCAGCACAGAATTAAGCAATGAGGCATTTGGTTAGACGTATCCATATAAAAGGAATAATGCATGCTTTGTGTAACATGAGTGGCGATGCAATGTACACAAGATATTTACACTCAAGATATTGAATAAAATATTTACTAAAATTGTTCATCAAATGTTAACAACTGCCATTTGTGCTACTGAAGTATAAGAAAAGCTATTTATACATCTGTAAAGTTGGCTATTGTGATGTACAGTATATCTGACTGAAATGGGTTCTTGAATAAGAAAATGTAGGGTGGGACATGATTTTGTCGTCGGGCATTGATTGGATCATTGCTGTTTGCTGATTGTTGTGATCTTTTCAGTGACCGGTTACCTGAGGGATTATTGTTCAGCCCTTCTGCCAGTGAACACTTCAACAGGGGGGAGATGTTGTTGCAAGGTGGAAGGGGTCTTTTATTATATTTATATTATTTTGATTAAAAAAAATTACGAGGGCACGTGAATTAAAAAAAATGTCTATGGATAATTCATTTATAATAAACACTGCGATAAAATAAAAATAGTCGATTTTGACTAATGGTGACCAACAGTCATGACTAAATCATTACAACATTCCCAGTCGGCATCAAAATAATATAATACATAATATAAAAACACATCCAGCTCGAGGGTTTTTTTTTATCCCATCGGCCCGTGTATGTGTGTCTGGCAGTGGGCCTCATGCACCCCGGGGTTGAACAGTTTGTCTGGGTCAGGCAGCTGGTTGCTAAGGAGCAGAGAGCAGACAGCCATTCTCACACACACACATTGCGGTGGGGGCTGGGATGGGCTGCCAGAGACGGGTCAACAGAGAAAAGGACCGGCAGAGCCAGAGAAGGAGGGAGAGGAGGGGGCGACAAAGCCGTCTTTCATGCGTGCTGCCTGCCCACCCGACCGCCCCTGGCTTTCGTCCTGCGCAGAGTATTTTCGGATTAGCCCCCGCACTTTAATCATTCCTTCTCTTTAAATATAGCTGTTTATCCCATTTGGCTTTTACTATTTTGCGAGATATCAACTTTTTTTTTTTTGCACGGTTTATCGAATTGCTATTGTTAACTCTCTTTTGTAAAATCTCTGTCCGCTTCTCACTTTTCAGATAACGCCGTTTCGTGTCGTCATTGACCTTGAAATACCTCCGCACTGAGTGTGTGAGAGAGAGCATGCAAGAGTTTCCCGGGTGTTTGCTGTGAAAGGGTGGCAGCCAGCGCTGGCATCTCCGATATATTTTTAAACTATCTTCACCACTGTCTGTAGTCCAGAGGTGCTGAGGAAGCTTTTTGCCTCAACGGTCAGATCAGAGAGGAGATGTGCTGTTCAGCTGCTTTGATGCTTGAATTTAAATGGGAGTTACAAAGCAGTGAGATTTGAAGCATTCAGCTGGTGTGGATTGCATTAATTATACTGTAGGAGGGGGAGTCACACAAAACCTGCCAAGAATGTGTCCTAGTTATACTTACCAACAAAATCAGAAGGAAGAAATAAGACCTTATACTTGGAGAAAATAAAGCCTAATTTTAGGTGTTAAGGACCATTAATATTTGCTACCCAAATTCTGATTCTTTCTGTAATGCAGTGCCATATTAACGATTATATCAAGGACATTTTTCTTTATATACCTATGTAAGAAATATATAAATCAAAGCTGAATTTTCATCAGCCATTACTACGGTCTTTGGTGTCGCATGATTTTGATTACATTTAGGATTTTCTGAGGGTCATTTTTTTTTTCATTTTTGTTATGAAACCCCCCCCGTTGGTCATGGTCCTCTCATTCTCCACAGACTGTAACCGAAAAAAGATTTTACTGTCTAATCAGATAATTCGTTCGTTCATTTATTTATTATTTAAGGGGTCATGAACTGCATTATATAATTATTTGATAATGTTTCGTGAGGTGCACCTATAATGTACAGGTGCATCTCAATAAATTAGAAGAGTTTCACAATTTGAGTTGAATTACTGAAATAAATGAACTTTTCCACGACATTCTAATTTATTGAGATGCACCTGTAAATAGGATTTTTACATCAAAAATTTTAATAATTTAGAAATAAAAGGCCATTTTATACTCTGATTTGAACGCTCTGTTGGAAGGGGCGTGACTGCTGTGAGACTTCAATGTAATGCCCACTGCTATAATTGGCTACAATCTTTTCATATGAAATTTCATAAGTATTACATGTGATTTCATAAGTATTACACAAATTTCATAAGTGTTACATGTTACATGTGTTACTCTGAACACGGATACATACATGTTATGTCATTCCTGTCAGATCCATATTTTGCAGTAAAAGTCTGTTTGCAAAACCTGCACAGAAACTGTGACTGATTTACCAAAGAATCCACCGTGAAATGTACTGAACAAACAAATAATGCTCTACTGGGACATCCACATAGTTAAATAAATAATCACTTTCCTAGCATCAGTATCCTTTAGAAGGTAATGTTATTTTTAGTCTGGCAGTGATCCTGTGTTGCTGTTCTCTCCTTCTCATCTCACTAACGCACCAGTGGGCGGGGCCAAAGATGTAGAAGTAGGCATTGATCTGATTTTGCAGAGGTGGGCTTTCACTGCACTATGGCGTCATACTGTGAGAAAATCTGAAATGAGTCATTTTCTGATCTTGGTTTCAGTAAAAGCTGTTTTTGGACTAACAAGGAAGTTTTGAGGTCTGAAACTTACAGGAAGTTTTCATAGTACAATGACCGCTTACATGTCAAAACATCAAGGAAAATTTGATTTCTCAATTCATGACCCCTTTAAACCTTCTGTAATTTGTAGTGTTTAATAAGTCATCTCTCGCTAGCTTGAGACTTTTTTTTTTTTTTTTTACACAAAACCCAGGGCTATTAATATCAGAGCTGTACTCACTCTGGGCTTCGGTCAGACTTTGGATTTTCGGAACCAAATGGATCTGTGAAGACCTAGAAATGGGATGTAGTCACTTGCTCCCCTGGTCACCTCCAAATATAGTTAAGGTGATTAAGTGTTTTGGACCTGTATTTCTCTCTAAACAAGACCTCTAAACAAGTTTTTCTTCTCACAAATAAAGTTGCGCATGACAAGAGCTGCCTTTCTCTGCTGGTCAACACAAGTACCTTTGAAGTGCCATGCGGCAACTCCTCATCTGCTAACCTTGAAGATAATATTGGCCACAGGGAGTGTTTCTCTACTATAATGTTTGAATATAACTTCCCACAGCACAGATTGAAGATTACGACTACAATAAGGCATTTAGTAAGGCATATCTATATAAATGAAAGTGGAAATGTAATTAATTGCTATACAGTTGGTTACAAATGAAAGAAGAAACCGCAAGCGGATGTTAAAATGAAGTAAAGATGTGTGGTCCTCTCATTCTCCACAGCTTGTAAGAGAAAAGAGCTTTTCCTGTCAAATCTGAAATATTTTGTCTTCTGTAATTGCTAGTGTTTAATAAGAGTCATTTCTGACTCTGTCTCTCCAGGATTCGGGGTCCTACCCCTCCACAGCTCATGTTCCTGGCCAGGGCAACAGCATGACACCACAGCAGAGCAGCAACAGCATCCCGGCTAACCATGGTAGCGCGGCCTACATGAAGCAGCAGCAGCAGCAGATGCAGTTGATGAGTCAGCAGAAGCAGTTCCTCCAGAGGCAGATGATGGCCGAGCAGGTACCATTTCCAGTGTTCATAGTCGGATTCGTAACCCAAAGGTTGCGGGTTCGAGTCTCGTACCGGCAGGTATTGTAGGTGGGGGGAGTGAATGTACAGCGCTCTCTCCCACCTTCAATACCACGACTGAGGTGCCCTTGAGCAAGGCACCGAACCCCCAACTGCTCCCCGGGCACCGCAACAAAAAATAGCTGCCCACTGCTCCGGGTGTGTGTTCACGGTGTGTGTGTGTTCACTGCTGTGTGTGTGCACTTTGGATGGGTTAAATGCAGAGCACTAATTCCAAGTATGGGTCACCATACTTGGCCACATGTCACGTCACTTTCACTTATTTTTGCTTCTATAGACCAATTTCAGTGTTTGCAAACAGTGATGACGTTTTTTGTAATATGTAATTGAGTTTATATTTCAAAATTCTGACTTTTTTCTTGCAATTCCAAGAATATATCTCTCAATTCTGGTTTGAAAAGAAAGAATAAAGAGTTGATTTTTTCGGTTTATAATCCCACACTTCTGGCTTTTTTCCCTCAGAATTGACAAACTCGCAATTGAGTTGAATCAAGTTATAAAGTCCAAACTAGGAGATATAAACTTGCATTTGCAAGAAAAAAAGTCAGAATTGTCTGATAAAATAGGTAAATGTTATGTAAAATGTTATAGGTTTAAATAGCCCTACAGTTGAAATACATGCATGAAATACTAGTACAATATGTCCCCTATACGAATATTATATAGACCTATTGTTTAAATCAAATTTATACTTTAAAAGTAGGGTAGTCATAGCAGGTTTCATCCATAGTTTGTCTGTTTAAACGTCTGCGTTTAGCTTCAAATGGCTTCTTTGAAGACGGTATTATATAAAAATGATTTGCATTCCGATTCTGACATCCAAAGGCACAACAATACATTTTTTCTCTTATTCCATGGATTTTACCCGTTTCCCTCCACTTGTTCCCAGTGTTTTTCTGCCACCACAATGCGCGCGCAGCTGCAAGTGACGTAACTGTGACTTTAATCATGTTACTATCGCTAGCATTGTATAGACCAATTTGAAGTCACAATGTTCAATAAATACATTTATTAATCATCATCATCAACATAATTAACAATTCTTTCTCCAAATAATATAGTTTGTTAAACTGTGGGTGATATTGTGGTTGCAAATATAGAATTCATTGGTGATTAAATTAGCCACTTTTGAAGTAGCTGTAAAATATAAACCAAATTTAGAGTCAAAACTCTGTGTGTGTGTGTGTGTGTGTGTGTGCGCAAAAATGCTTGCTAAAGTTTCATCCAGTTTCATCAGTTCTTGGAGTTGTCCTGAGGTCCACCTCCAGGGGGCAGCAGCCTCACAAGAATAATAAATTTTTTTGCCACAGTGTTGTTCCCCTTCATGACAGTATTTGAAGCCATAACTGAAGTGTGTTTGTCCCAGGAGAAGCAGCGGCAGCAGCAGGAACAGCAGCTGCAGAGGCATCTGACCCGTCCACCGCCTCAGTACCAGGACCAACAGAACCCGCAGGCTCAGCAGAACCCATTCCAGCAGCAGGTCTCTCAGTTTGCTGGTGTGCCGCCCTGCCTGGCCCAGCAGCACTCCTCCGGCTTCAGCGAACACACCATCTCCGGTATTCACCTTTCTCTTCTTGATCATCAGTTGCCCCCTTTTACACCTGCTGCTTGTTACATGTTGCATCAGTAGGCACTCTGTTGTCCAGAATGCATGAGGACACATATGGACGGATGCTAAAAATGAGATGTGGTCACAACCGGACCTGACCAGCTCCAAGAATAATTTTAGTGATCAAGCGGTTTGGACCCAGTCTGGACTTGAGATTGGATCACAAGAGTCACAGGTGTAAACAAGACCTCTGTTTTTCTGATTACGAGAAAAGTTCAGTATGGCATGAGTTTCCTGGCTCTGTAGGTCAACACAAGTAGCCTTTTGTTACAAAAGGTCCACACACAAGTCCATCTGATTTGCAAGTGTGTTTATTGATAGACTCATTTGAATGACAGGGATACAGTGTTCAGTGTGCACTGCCGTTACATACAGCATCAATCATTCATCTGCGAGTCTACTTTTAAAAGCTTACTTCAACTAAAAAATGGTCATTTATTCACCCTCATGTCGTTCCAAACCTACAAGACTTTGTATTTTGAAGATTAATCAAAGGAATATGTTTTTAATCAAATCAAAAAAGATCTAGATTCCTTTTAGGAAGATCCAAAAAGATCATAAAGATGCCATAAAATGGGTTAGGGTTAAGCCTAACCATAAACCTAACCCATGTGCTCTTTGTAGGTGTTGATCATTGTTCATCACAAGTTGATCATCACAAGACTGCTAGATTCAGGTGGATTTGTTTCATGATGCCTTTATGACCTTTTTGGATCAAGGTTTTGCTTGGACTTTCGGGGGTGGGGCAGTAACCTCTCAAGTTTCATTAAAAATATCTTAATTTGTGTTTCAAAGATTAATAAAAGTCTTTTTGGGTTTGGAACAATAAGAGGTTGAGGATATGATGACAGGAGCAGTTTGTTTTTCCTGCAAAGTGAAGCTGGTAAAATAAAATTGTGGCGAATGAGTTTAGAAAGCCGTTTCAGTGTTGCCAGATCTTGAAAGAGAAACAAGCAGCCTTGTCTGAAAAACAAAGCTCGCAGCAAGCGACTTGACTCATCAAAAATGTTGTGTACTTGTTTGAGTGTAGAATGTTTCTGGTTTAGTTGAGGAGTATTGCTTAAAGTCTGCATTAAATAAAAATTCACCCTATATATTTTCCAAATTAATTTTTATTCTCACTGTGAACGATTCATTTATTTTATTTTTTTTATTGTTTGACCCAGTCATTGCAAGTTTGCTTTCATCTGCCTCTACTGCTGTGTGCCACACCCACATCTTAACATCCAATCAACAACTGATACATAGATTATTGAAAAACTGTAGGGCGGGACTTGGTTCTGTTACACTCAGATGTACATTACAATTCTGAAGATAAGATCTGTGGCTTCTTCCATTTCACTTTAAATTCATTGATCAACATTGAAATTGTTTAAAAAAAAATTAAAAAAAACTTGAATCTTAAAAAAACTTGTTGTAATTGTGATTGTTTGGTTACTCTGTTTTAGGTGCATCTCAACCAATAGGGAATGTCAACTCTCTTAGTGGCCCCACCCCTGGAACACAACGGATGTTCTCTCAGACACAAGGCATGATGGGAATGGGGGTGGGACAGAATACTGGCCCAAGCACTGGTCCCCCTCCAGCCGCCAGTCAAGCAGACATGAACCTCCCATCCTGTGCAGGCGGTCTCGACGTGCAACAAGTCCTCTACGGCAACATGCCCATGCATCCTTCCCACCCCAACCAGCAGAGACCGCCAGTGTCCTCCATGTCTGCCGCTTACCGCCAGAATGTTCTGGCAGCCCAGCAACAAGCACACTTGAAAAACCAACCCAATGCTGCTATGTTGAAACAACAACAGCAGCAGCTGGCCCGTATGCCCAACAGCATGCCCAACGCCATGACTAATAACATGGGCTCTGCTATGCCCACCTCCATGCCAACCAGTATCCAGGGTGCCTTGCCCGCACAGGCCCAGTCATGGCAGCAGCAGCAGCATCCAGGTCTCCAACCCGGCTCTGCTAACGGAGGCATGCCAGCAGGTTTCCCCAACTCTGGCTTCCACATGCAGCCAAGATTGTCCAAACTTTCCAACAACACCCCGTTTCCCCAGGGTGGCATGGGGAACAGTGCAGCTGGTAGGACCCTGACAGTAATGAATCCTGGACAGATGTTGCCTAACATGAACCAGCAACGGACCAATAACCCAGGCATGTCCCAACAGCTGCCCCCTCCTGGCCAGCAGATGGTCCAGCAGGGGCAGGTGCAAGCGCCGCCTCAAACTCAGCAGGTTCTGCCTGACTTGGGGCCCTTCAGTCAGCCACAGGCCGGACCTAACTGCACCGCAGGACTTCAGTGCAGTCATGCCTATCAGATCAACAGGACAGCCAATCAGCAGCTCCAGTTTAGCTATAACACCCAATCGGGAGGCAGCTTGTCCGGGTTTCCTGCCGAGACGGACCTAGTGGACTCTCTGTTGAAAAACCCATCGACACAAGAGTGGATGGATGATCTAGACGAGCTGTTGGCCAGTCACCAGTGAGTGATGGCCATGGGCCAATAACAGCCAATGCTGGTGCCTTTGGTAGAGGAGAAAACATAAACGTCCACTTTCGGATGTTTTCGGAGATGGTGAAACTGCTCATATCACTCAGATCTGCTGTGTTCTCTGTTGAGTATGTATATGGTGTATATAAAAGAGGTCAAGTAGAGCACAGAGCCTGTGTCACTGAAGTATTCTCTGGACTGGAAATTTCAAAGAGGGAAATGCTCTACTACTGACCCTGTGGCTCGGTAAAACCACTGAATTTTCTTATGAGTGTGAGCTCAAACACTAGTTGAGCCATTCACACGGTTGTGTTGCCTATGTGTTTGCTGTAGGCATGAGGAGGGTCTGTTCAATGTCAGGAGTGTCTTGAGTCTCTTGACACACTTCCACAGGCCTTAAATTTGCACTCTTGAAGATGCACAATATGTGATTTACAGTAAAACGGTCTAAAGCAGTAGTTAACCTCAAAATTAGCATATTTGAATCATTTACTAACCATGTCGGTCCAAACCCATGTGACTTTGCTTCATGAGGGATGTCCAGTCCAGCTCCTGGAGGGTCACCTTCCAGCACAGTTTAGCCCCAACCCAAATTCAACACCTGATCCAGCTAATCAATTCTACAGGATCACTAGGAAATAGAGATGGTCTTTTTATGGGGAGATGCCATTTGACACTCGCATCATATCCTTGACATCACTGAATTGCTGTCAGAGATGTACGAAGGTCAATAACAGATTGTGGATACCATAGAAATTGAGAAGTGCCGTAAACGGAGTTTTCCCCGATGCAAAACATTTTCACTGTAAACTCCAAAAATGATTACAAATTCCAAAATGGCTGTTTAATGGCAAACATGTTGATTCATATAGTAATAAGCTGCTCATCACAAAAGCAGTTCATTCAGAGTACTGAAGCCTCTTCTCCACAGACATCCATTCAAAATCAAATGTGGACTGTGGCCCTCCAGAGCGAGATCAGACCTCTGCTTTTAGAGGTTTATCAGAAAACTGACCCTGTGTGTATTATCATTCTTCAGATTGTCTCATTTGTATGTTCCACTAAAGATAGTCATGCGAGTTTGGAACGACATGAGGGAATAAAGGATCACAACTTTAGTTGAACTGTTACTTTAAGTTCCGTATGTTCATTGGTTAGTTTCTCATTGACTAAATTTAGGAAGTAGATGCTTCGTGGTTTGTTTAATCAGGCCATGACCGCTTGAAGGCGTGTAGCTGAGACTAATAGTGAGGAGGATGAACTGATGTTCTGACAACTCTACAGTGCTCCAGTGAAAGTAGATTGCGTCATTACACTTTCATGTTACACTACACTAAGTTGTGTGTTGTTGTTTTTTTCTTCTGAAAAGCTCAGAGCTTCTGTGTTGGTGAGAGGGTTAATAATCCTGTTTGTTTTCTCCCTCTGGTGTCTGATGTTACATTGAGGGCAGGTCAGGTGCCGGTCTGAACTGTGCTACCTGAACTCTCTCTCCATCTGAGATTCTGTGACAGGGTTTCATGTATATTTATATATTTTTTGTATGTATGCCGTTTCTATTGTTCAGGAGAAGATAGATCTTATTTTTATATGTACATTGATGCAAAATTGTGTAAGTATTTTATACTTTTTATTATTGTTCTCTGTAAAACGAGAGTGTTGTGTAAATATAGTTCTCTAGAAACGGTCTTGTTTGGTGTGTTTATTTAGCGTTTTGGGTGATTTGTGCATTAGCAACTTAGTTTTGATGTAATGAGGTTCAGGAAAGCTTCAGATAATACTCTAATGCAGGTGAACCTGACACGTTCTGATAAATGTAAACCCCCTTTAAAAAGCATCTTAACACACACAATCCATGGACAAAATGATTGACAAGTCATGGAATACAAGCATGACTGGCTTAAAATGAAGGAGGCAAAGGCAACTTTTGTTCAGAAATTGTCAAATGAGTTGTTACACCAGATTTTTCATAAACCTTTGTGGTAAAAACAATTAGCATTCATTTCTTTCATGGGGCGGTATTTCTCATTTACCTTTGTGAGTGCATGCTTCATATACCCTCTAGCATTATGTCCTGGAAAAATCTTAATAATAGTGATGTAATGTGGGTTATATTCTTGTCCCGCCCACTCTAGTCGTGCTAATATAAGTGACTGAATAAAAAAAAACAGCCTGTGAGTGTGGTTTGACCAGAGATAGAGGATAGTGTCTGGCTCACTGTCACAGGAATGATGCTGGAGCAGGTCGTGCTGTTAGCAGCCGTCACAGTGCTGGGATTGCTGGAGCAAGGTAATTACCACATGATTGTAGATGGTCAAGTCAAATCAATATTTGTCCGTTTTACGGTCAGAGAAACAGATTATATACACTGTATGATGAAACGCGCTTGTGTCCTACATTACAGGTATTACAAATGTGTCTCGTGCAAGAATGAACTGTAATTGTAGCAGTGATAGTTGGACTTGAATCAAGAGAATGATCAGTAGAGTTACAGTAGAGTTGTCATGTTGGCAAGCCCTGCAAACTGGCTGATAAAAAAATACAGCGTTTTACCAAACGTTCCAATCTGTAAGATTTCCTAGAATACTGCTCAGATTTACGCATTTGAAAGTAATATAGGTCTTGAAATTGGTTGGACAAATTCATTTTGAGCGGCTCTCGCGCTTTTTCTGTAATAAAATCAGGAATAGTTTTTCCAAAAATAAAAATTCTGTCATTATTTAGGCTACTCCCCTGGCGTCTTGCGTTAAAGTCGATCGGTATATATATATTTTAATGCAAAAGCAAACATTCAGATTAAGAACAGGATCTTTTGCAATGTGTGTTAGGAAATTCTTTAACTTCACAATCTGTTTGATGTGATAAATGTGTTTGCCGTCCTGTCAGCGTACTTCTCTCTGAAGGTGATCTCCGCGCGGAGAAAGCACTCGGTCTCTCCGCCGGCCACCACCGGACCTCCGGAGTTTGAGAGGATCTTTCGAGCCCAGTAAGTCAGGCGGAATGGGTCGCATTTATCATCCGTCAACTGAATAAAGACACATGACTTCACTGAGAGGAATGTTGATCTCGACAGGCTTGGTCTCATTTGTCATATTTTTTTCCATTCTTGCCAGAGCAAACTGTTCTGAATATTTCCCCATATTCGTCTTCTCGCTTTGGCTGGCTGGAGTTTTCTTCAGTCAAGGTGAGTTTCCCTGAACTGAGAATCCACGAAATATCAGGTAGGCTCATGTCAGTTCAACTTGGCGCTCACAGAACATATTAATATATCTTGCTAAAATGCGACAACCAGATTTATAGTTTGTGGTATTAATAAGACTAGCTCAAGCAGCTTCTGCTATACTGGAGTAAGCACAGGACACACTGCACTCTGAAAATGCCTTGATTTATTTACAGAAAAAGAGAGCATCTAGAATGTTACGTTTGAACGAATAAAAACGCCCAGATGTTCCTTCAGGCTGGTTTTATAGAGGGGTTAAACCAGACAAGTCTTCAAAGGGGAACTTTCCCTTGTGAGAAGTGTATAAATAACATATGCTTTAAAAGTCTCTCTAGATTAAAAGAGAAAACAAGTCAATCTAATCTAACAGCGCTCACATTGGCTTTCACCAGAATCTGATATCTCACACCTCAGATTTGCATGTAAACCAAAAATCCCTTGACATGTGTTATGCAAAGCCGTTCTGCTGCTGTTGTGCTCTTCTCAAACGCCTCCATTCAGATCTAAAGGAAGAAAAGTAAGCTTAAATTGAGGTGGTGATCAATATTAGGTTAGGTCAAGCATCACTATTGCTATTGGGTTTAGTGATCTGAACAAACCCCTCATCCAGAAAATGACATGATGAATTTCTTGCTCTAGCACTGGCAGTGTTCTTCGGGCTCCTGTACCTTTATGGACGGTATCTGTACTTCCACGGCTATGCGGATTCGGCTCAGGGCAGGTCAGTGATCTAAGACTGTAGTAGTGTTCATGTTTGCCCAGTCGTGATGCTCACCTGTTACTGTCTGCTGGCAGACTGGAGCCGCTGTACTTCAGTGCAAAGATGCAGTGGGTGCTGATCGCTCTGGCCGGGCTGGGGGTCGTCTGCACCATGACGCAGGCCTATCTGGGACTGGACCTGCTGCACTCCTTTAGTCATGTTCTGGGCCTGAACGAACACACATGAAATCACAAGCGCTGGATGTCTGCAGGAGGCTGAGAACAGGGAATGCTTTAAAGGACCTGAAAGGTTTTTCTTTACTTTTTTTTCTCCTCTAAAGAAAGAAGGTATTCATTTTGTCCATCAAATGGAAACATCTGCAAAACAATCAGTTATTCAAATGGTTACTTCAAACGTTGTTAAATAACTGTCTAGAAACCATTACTGTTAGTATTTCCAAATGTAAAAAAAAAAAGTGGTTTTCTTAATTTATTATTACGTTTATATTTCAGCTAGAAGCTTTTAATTGATTTTTGTACTAGCAATGTCATTGCACATAAATATGCATCTCTCAGGAGAATTCTGACTTGGTTGCCAATATTTGTTTTTCCCCCAAATTATGCATTAGATGCTTTTGAAAGCATTGATAACTCGTTTTCTTAGCTAAGGCTGATTTCATTACTAACAAGCCTTTTAAACACAATTAAACCGTTTCACTTTTTGAATAATTTGACCAAAACTCGACTGGAAATGATGCACAATAAAACTATTATTCTCCCAAGTGATATGCACTGTGATGTCATTTTTCCTGTTTTCTTCATACATCACGTCTCATATTTAATCTCATGTCTTTCATGGAAATGATGCACAATAAAACTATTATTCTCCCAAGTGATATGCACTGTGATGTCATTTTTCCTATGTTTTCTTCATACATCACGTCTCATATTTAATCTCATGTTTTTCGCTGACAGTGTTGCCCCATTGGTAAACAAGTACATTAACTTTAGAAATGCCTTCGTTGGGGTAAAAATCAGAGTGGTGGAAATGACAACCAGAGTCACTTCTGTTTTCTATTTTATAATGCTATATTTTCTGTTATCTGGTCATGTGTAAATGCATGCATTTCTGATCTATACACATTTATGAAATTCAAAGACTAGAATGATGTTTGACAGTTCAAAAACATTCAATCTGTGTATAGTGTTTTGTATTTTTGGCCATAAGGAGGTGCTAGGACTTTGTACATCAGTGTCAGTGGTGAAGACCAGACTTTTTCCTACATTTCCAGTTGTTCTTACCTAACGAATATGCTGATGAAATGCTGAAACATATTTTCATTTTCCAGGACATTTTATCTGACCAATAGTTGTAATAGTGAGAATGAATGCACTGGAGGCTTCGCTATTTTGAGGTGATAGGCACAGCATACTGTACTGGACATCACTAGTATACCAACAACAACTGATATAAAACCTCAGTTGAGTCATTTGTTTTGTATAACAGCACTCCAGCATCACAAAAACTGCACCATACCCCCAAAAGCAGTGGGGTGAAATGTCGGGCTTGAATCTGACTTCAATCTTTCATGCCAACAGTGATCAAAATGACATATTATGCAAATATGGTTTGATTATTCTAGCATAAACTGTCTGCTAACATTTAAATGTGAATGAAATCTTGTATTCACATCATGGTGGCATATCTGTCAAAGAGCAAAAAACATTTAAAATGAAATTCTACAGTCACACAAATAAATGTAGATTCCTTGGTCGTGCTCTTAAAAGAATTATTGTTATATTCCCTAATACAAATTCTTCCGCAGTACTCCCAGTCCAGTTTGCATTGGAACCCAATGGCAAAGTTAGCAACTGCATGTGCTGCGAAAACAATAGGTCTGTATTCAAAAGTTCCACCCCGCGTGGAAGTTGCCGTGTTCAGAAAGCTTGAGATGTAGGTGATGTGAACCGAACGTGTCTGTTTTTAAGAGTAACTGAAGGAAATAAAGGCTTTCATGTGACTTCTGCAATGCACTTCTGGGTGATGTTGCCACTGTCTGAAGCAGCTAAATGAAACCATAGCATCCTGCTTTAAACTCTTCATACAAAGTGTGGTGAGGGTTCTGTGTTACTACCACAGAGATATTTTCTGTTAAACAGCAGTTAGTTGTAGTGTCATTAACAATTGGGTCCACTGGTTAAATGGGTGCATGTGCAGTAGTTGTAGGGAGGCTATCAGTTCACTGTTAGACCATGTTACCACTACTGCAGTCTGTAGTGTTTCACATTTTATTATTTGCATGTTCCTACAGTTACGCATTTATTAGATGACTTTATCCAAAAGCATCTAATAAATGCAAAAATGTAAACTTACAAAACAGCGATTCAAGGACCCAACAACATTTGAAATATACAATGCCACGTTTATTAGATTACCAGTTAACTAAATTACAAATCAAGCTAGGGAAGAGGGGAAATGCAGAGAAGATTTGTTTTTTATTGTGTGTAAGTGAATTGGTTTAACGGTTAAGTTAACAGCAAGATATTAAAGGCCAGATAATCAGTCATTTCCATCTGTTAAATTCTGATGAAACAGAGGTGATAATATTTGGACCAAAAACCTGTATACATAAGCTCTCAAAATATAATTTGCATCTAGACAGTAGTGCTACTTCCTTCTCTACAGTTAAAGACGTGGGGGTTTTTTTTTTTTAGACAGCTACTTATCTTTTGAAAACCACATTTTGCATGTTATCAAAACAGCCTTCCTCCATCTTAGAAACATTGCAAAGTTATGGAACAAGTCATTTATTTCTAATGCAGAAAAACTAGTTCATGCATTCATGACCTCTAGACTTCATCATTGCAACGCACTACTAGGTGGTTGAACTACTTGAAATTATTAGCTCGTTTAGCTTGACAAATTACACTTCAAGAAGCCTACACACACTCTACAGTGCTAGTGTGTGTAGAGATGAGGTTTAGTGTAATTATTATCACCGTATTATTATCTCTTGGCTCGGTTTTATCAGCAACAGGATGCGGAGAGCAAAAGGTGTCATGTCACCACTCGCTTCACCGGCCCAGTGTGAGCAAAGTGAGTGAACGCCTAAATGAAATGAACCCGAATGTTCTTACATTAATGAAATACATCATTGTGAATTAATTGTCATTCATCTGAAACAAACCACTGAACATACTGCAGTGCTGTACACTGAAAAATGGCTTTGAAACCATTTTCATTAGTAGATTTCACAAATAATTTCAAAGAAATGGCAAGTAAACAATGTGAAATTTCAAAGCTGTAAAGCATAATCCAATAATCTTATATTTACAATTTTGAAAAATAATTTTTAACAGTGTGAGAACCAAAAGGGCGATCATTATAGCAGGCCCAGAGGAGTCATTCGTACTTCATTGTCTCTCTCTTTCTCCCTCGCTTTCACTTGAACACACAGGTGCACGTTCTCCAGCTTCACACTGGTTCCAACTGACCTGGCCGCTTGGAGAGGAAGTTGTGTTTTTGGCCAACAGGAAAAAAATCATATGGGATTTTTGCTACTTCCTGTTGCAGGAAACACGTTCAAGGATGCAGAAGGGGTGTGTGGGGGCTGTAGGTCTGTGTGTGTGTGTGTGTGTACCTACTTAACCATATTTTGGGGACTGATTTGTACCCAAAAGTGAGCAAAACCTGACAAAATCGATTCCATTTGGGGAAGTCCTCATTTGTAAAACTGGTATAAAAATAAAGTAAACAAAGTTTTTTTGAAATTATAAAAATGCAGAAAGTTTTCTGTGAGGGGTAGGGTTAGGGGTAGGGGTGGGTTTAGGTTAAAAAGTGTATAACTATTTTTATATAAAAACAACAGAAGTCTATGTAATGGCCCCATTTAGTTAAGTAAACGTGTGTGCGTGTGCGTGCGTGCGCGTGCGTGTGAAAGAGAATATACATCCGTATTAAAGGGGGCATATGATGTTGCTAAAAAGAACATTATTTTGTGTATTTGGTGTAATGAAATGTGTTTATGC